GTCCCCATGTGTACGAATGCAAATTACACCTGTGAGGTTAGTTTAGGGTCAGGTAGGTACCTGTGAGGTTAGTTTAGGGTCAGGTAGGTACCTGTGAGGTTAGTTTAGGGTCAGGTAGGTACCTGTGAGGTTAATTTTAGGGTAAATGATCAGGATTAGGATATAAAATTACAAAAACTGAATGGAAGTCAATGGTCCCCACAGGGATATACAAACCAGACCTGTATGTGTGTGTTAGGCATCACATGATCAGTGGACAACAGAACCTGTTTAAAAGTTGTAAATGTTGTGTGGAACTGAAGTGAGTCCTGATGGTGTTTATAAATCCAACCAAGTTCAGCTCGTTATTCTTCAGTTTTTTTTCCTAACAACTCATTTCCTACTTAATTAGACTTGSTTTAATTAGCAGTTAAGCACACGGAGGCGGTGCTTGGGGATTATTGTAATATGTGCAGTCTGTCATTTGTTGACACAGAATCAAAGCGCTGCTTTCTGTCACTAATGAGATTGTTTGCTTTGTGAGTCCAGTCGTTACACAACACATTTCATTAAGACCACATTCCTCTACTTGTTGCTCTGATGACATCAGTAAAGCTTCTTTCATTCAGAGTTCACACTGTCAGCTGGAGGATCAGTGTGTACACGGCATCCGATCATCTTCCTCCTCCTCCTCTTCCTCTGCAGCTCCGTCTCTGATCAGTGAGCTGCGAGCAGAGAAGATCGAGCAGAAGAGCATCACACTGGTGTGGAGGGAGCCCTCGTACCCCAACCACAGCCGCACTGACTACGAAATCAAGTACTTTGAGAAGGTAAAACTGCTGATGTTCTGCTTCCCAGTCAGGAAAACTCAAACGTTCAGTCTTTGTGTTTTAGAGTCTAAGTCCWTACCATACCACTTGATTTCTAAAACACTTAAAAACATAGCAGCTGACTGAAGTGCTKTAAAAATATAAAACAATAGGACAATCATAAGAAAACAGAACTCCAAACTAAGTTTTAACAACAGAAAGAATTGGGGCCTCCTGACCTTCAGCAGCAGCTCAGTCCACAGTTTAGGAGCCAGAGCAGTGAAGCCTCTGTCTCCTCTGTGTGCTGAAAGCATCAGTTCACATAATCTAATGATGACAGAAGAGTGAAGCAGTTCAGACACATAAGAAGAGCTAAGATCATTAAGAGACCTAAAAACAAAGAACTTTAATCTGAATTTGAAACTGAACAGGCAGCCAATGAAGGGAGTTCTGTGCTCTCGTTTACCTGCACCAGTTAAAAATCCTGCAGCAGCATTTGGTACCAGCTGTAAACATGAGAGGAAGCCTGACTAACTCCTATCAGAAGAGGTACAGTAGTACAGTGAGGAGATGAGAGGGTGGATCGCTCAAAGMCGTTCTTCTCCTGATGTCATCAAGACAGTCCAGGAGAGTCTGAGTGGAGCCGTTATGTTTCAGCAGAAAGAGGACTTGACAATAATCTGTGTATAAATGAAACTGTACCGTGCTGTGTAAAACTGGAACCCAGTGGCAGAAGATAAAATGAAAACAGGAGAGGACCATGAGTAGAGCCCTGGGGCACCCCCAGGGGAAGGCCAGTATAAGCAGAGGTGAAGTCATCTATCATCACACTAAAACTTCTATCAGAAAGGTTGGACCATTGAAGAGCTGAGCCACCAATCCCCACCCCCTTGTCCAATCTGGAGGTGGGCATGTCATGGTCAACACTGTCAAAGGCAGCTGGTAAATCTACCAGCACAAGTAAAACCACAGTTCCCAGAATCCAAARCTAAACATGTCATTAAAAACCCTTAAAAGAGCAGATTCAGTGCTATGGTACGTTATGGATCCTGACTAGAAGACCTCCTTGATTTTGAATTCATCCAAAAAGACCTTCAGCTGGGTGTAAACAGCATTTCTAAAATGTTGAATATAAAAGGTAACTTAGAAAAAGTCCTGAAGTTTGACGATGATGATGAATGAAGACCAGATTTATTCAGCAATGCTTGCTCCACAGCATGTCTAAGATCTTGGTCCAACATGACACCTCAGACTGCTGTAGATCATCAGGATAAACAGGTCAACCATAGGAAACACCTGAAGAAAACATGGAGGAAGAACATCAACAGGGGAACCACATGAATTCATACTGGTAACCAGGTTTGTTAGGTTTGAAATGGAAATGGGATCCAAATGATCAAACACAGCAGGATGGGGGACCAGGATGGGGGACCATGATGGAGGGATGGAGGGATGGAGGGATGTAGGAGAAATACATGTCCTGATGTTATCAACCTGCTCCAAGCTGGAGAAACTTCTCACAAAGTGAGACACTCGTGCTTTAAAACCAGTATCAGTTAACCTAACCCTAACCATTGAGTCCAGATAGACTTCTTTACAYGAGCTCAGGTGATGGAAGGTTTAGAAACACACACAGGTTAACACATACCAGATTATAATCTGACTCTGCTCAGACTGTGTGTTAACTGCAGTCAGATGAAAGTACGTTTATCTGGATAGAAGATGTGTTAGACTTGRTGGACAGTTGTTCCAGTGTGGACACCACTGGACCCCCCTGTGTGTGTTTGGCAGAAGTCTTTCTGGAACTGATCCTGGGCTCAACAGGACTCTGTGGATAAATGATGCTGACTCTTCATCCTCCACTCTCAGCTCAGTGTGTGTGTTTCTGCAGGAACAGAAGGATCAGAGTTATTCCACCATGAAGACCTCGGCCACTCGGATCAGCATCAACAACCTGAAACCCAGAACCACATATGTCTTCCTCATCCGTCCCTTCTCTACGTCGTCCCCCTCTTTGTCTCTGTCCTCCTCTGCTCTGTCCTCCTCTTCTTCATCCTCTACCTCCCCCACCTCCTCCTCCCCCCTGCCTCCCATTGATTATGGAGGGTACAGCGCCCCCCTGGAACTGCAGACTCTTGGAGAGCGTGAGTACTTGTGGTTTTAAGTTTGGACCTCAACATGAGAAAGTAGTTCTTTATTTCACGTTCCTCCCCTTCATTCAGCAGGTGAATCCCACTCACACCTCAGACGTCTGCTACAGGTCCTCCTGGACCTGAGGCATGTGTGAACAAACCAGAGTAGTTTGAAAAACCTCCAGGAACACTAGACAAGCATGTCAACTCCACACAGAAAGAAACCCAGGTCCAAAACCCAGAACCTCCTTCCTGTGAGCCACCGTGCTGACCACTGAGCCACCGTGCTGACCACTGAGCCACCGTGCTGACCACTGAGCCACCGTGCTGACCCGTTCAGGAGAATCTTTCTGTTTTCAGCTTCTGTCAGCAGAAACTGGACAGTAAAGCCCTGAAGTGGTGGTTTCAGTCAGCAGGTCCAATCAGAACCAGAACAAATGGCAGCTACTGTACCTTTAAGCTTATTGCTGCAGTTTCCCTCCTGTGTGGTTTTTCTCTCTGAGCAGTTCCTGAGCTGTTTACAGCTGACCGTGGTAACGAGTGTGTGCATCTTTGTGTGTGTTGGGTCCAGTGGCGCTGGCGTCCAGCGAGCAGAACCCGGTGGTGATCATCGTCATCGTGTCRGTGGCTGCCCTCATCATGCTGCTCTCCATGGGGGGAGGACTTCTCATCTGGAGGAGGTATGCTGTCCTGACACTGACCTTATGTCTGCTCTTAGAAAACCAGCAGGTTAGGTTAGGTTAGGGTTGTTAACTCACACTAACCAGCTGGTTAACCTGCTTCAATCCAACCAATCAGGGAGCTGAGTCAAACCTACAGGATTTGTCAGACGGCTCACTCTTCTACCTGGTAGATAAAGTCTGGTGTGTTTGGAGCCTCCACAGCAGAGGTGAACATGTGGGTGAACACAGAACCGCTCTGTCACTCCCTGCATGCTGACAACACGTTCAGTACACAGAGAAGTTCTGAGCTCCTTGCAGGTTCTGGGATTCTCTTGTTGTGGTTCAGATCAGTTCGCCTCCTGAATGAAAGTTGTTTAGAAATGCTTTTTCATGTTTCATGTTTTTAACATGTTTTATGTTTCATCAGGTCCAGGAAGTTCTCCTCAGTCACAGAAATGTTGTCAGCTTTGCTTCAGTTTGAACTCTGCAGTAACAGTCCTGGTGTTTGTAAAGAGTTCCTGTCTGGTTAGAGTTAGGGTTAGGGTTAGGGTTAGGGTTAGGGTTGTTGGTTTTCAAACACATCTTTCACAGTTCATGAGACAGACGACACACAGCTCCAGGAAACCCCTCCCCCGCTGTACTCGTCACAGCACAACACCCGCCCTTTGACCCTGATGAAAACCAAGACTGAATGTTGTATTTGGGAATCAWATCCCCCCTCTCAGTGTCCCACCTGGTATCCTTGGCACTCTGGTTCTTCGTTGTTCCTCCACTGTCAGGAACCACAGAGTGTCTTTAGACAGTCCTCTTTCACCAGAGCAACAAGGATCAACAGTTATCAAACTGGTTTTTATCATCAAACTGACAAAACAGCAGGGTTCACACTTGTCCATGTCTCCATCACCTTTAGATTGGACAAGTCCACTTCTGTCTCCTTCACCTTCAGTTGGTCTTTTAAGAGAAGACAGGACCTCCTCAGTCCAGTTGGAGCAGATTGGCTGCCTGTTTGTCTTTCTCTTCATTTCATTTTCCCCACTTTTAAACTTTCTAAATGTTTGTTTCCCAGTTATTTCTTTAAACCTGTTTATGACTCAGATCCTGCAGCCAGAAGCTGTCAGAGCTGCTGAGGCTAAATCCCAGCTCTGAGGGGATGAGGTTCATGATGTTTGTACTGCAGAATCCATATAATCCTGTCTGAAAACTCTTTTTACGCTGGTGTTTAATTCCATTTGGTCAATGATAAATGGCTTGAACTTGTAAAGAACCTTATCAAGTTCATATGGACCCCAAAGCACKTTACACTACACCCATTCACCCGTTCACCCAGTGATGGTGGGAACTACAGCCACTGCTGCCTGGACCACACTGACATGTGGTCAACCTGGTTGTTTGAAGCATGTAAAGAAATGAGAGTGAGCCATCAGTCAGCTGGTAYCTGTCTGTGATGCTGCAGGACCAACCAGGTTCTACAGGATGAAACCTGATAAGGTTTAATGTTCTTGTCTCTGCAGACAGTGTGGCTACAGCAAAGCTTCTCAGGAGGGAGACGAAGAACTTTACTTCCAGTGTAAGTGACCCTCAACCCTTCCTTCAGACACAAAGTATTTACTGTACTTCCTGTGTGAGCACACACACACACACACACACACACACACACACACACACACACACACACACACACCCTCTTTGATGTGTGTTTGTTGGACTGAATGTGAATGCACAGCAGATTGTGGAGTCAGTTGTTGATTTGAGCTCAGCTGCATCAGGTGAAGTGTTTCTGAGGCTGATGGGAGGAAGGTTCAGATGAGGGGARGGAAACAGAACCAGATAAGAACTGCAGCAGATGTTTGAAATGTTCTACATGATGTTCTGCAGCTCAGGGTTTACATCTGGCCTCAGAGGGCTTTTGTTCAACTGTGACTAAATGTCCTGATGCATCTCAGGAATCCAGGTAGAAATATTTTTTAAAAAGCTGAGCAGTTCCTCTGGATGAGTTCTTATTGAAAAAACTTCATCTCTCCTCCAAGAACCTCTTCAGTCTGAGGAGTTTCAGGTAAATTATTTTTAACCAACAGGAAACAGTTTGTACAAATTAATGATGTTAGGTCTGAACTTTGTAGTATTGTATGTGGGGTTCCACAGGGTTCTGTACTGGGACCAAATTTGTTTCTTCTATATATTAATGACTTGGTAAATGTGTCGGAGATGTTTAGATGTGTTTTGTTTGCAGACGACACTACAGGTTTTTTGCCTGGGAAAGAACATAGAACAGGTTCTGTATAAAGCTCATAAAAATATGTTCCCTCAAACATCCAATCTAATTTTGTTAAGAGGAAAAGCTGCTATAATTTGAAGGGATTACAAATGTTTGTTGAACCGAAAGCTCGAACAAATCTGAAGGACAGATGCACTTCAGTAAAAGATATAAGGCTATGGAATAATCTGGAAAATGATTATAAAAACATTTTATTTATTAATTCCTTTGAAAAATGATCAAAGCAAAATTGTTAAAGAAATATGAAATTGTTTAATTTGTATTTGTATGAGTTACTG